TCCTGTGTGCTGGCTGGATGGCTGGCTGGTTGGAAAGACGCCACTTGTGGTGACGGAGATGATGAACGTGTCGGCAAACTTGTGGCTGGCTCCCTTAAGGTAAACGGCAAATTTGGTGTTGTTATAAATTTATCGAAGTGTTTTTCTTCAATCGATACTTCATATATTTAGGTGGGTTGAGGAAATAGACTTCCAATATGATATTAGAATAAAGCATCAGGAGATATAAATAGGAGAATTCTAGCAGAGAGATTTTTAAGTCACTCTGGATAGACTAGATTCGATTGGTTTTCAAATGATTTTGATTTGCGTGATTATGTTGTGTGAGTGTGTAGTTTGAGGGTTTCATCAAATAATAATCTGAAGGTTGAGCCTTATTATAGTTTTGTATTTAATATTCCTGCAAGAACATCAAACATATTTTTTGACTAGTCTCACAATTCGTTACAACAACAAGAAAAAACACCTACCTATCCACCTTCCACTTTATATGATTTTTCTGACCTCCAACTTAAGGCTGAACCTTTCCACCTTAACACCTTTGGAGTTGACAGACAATTTTCATAAATAAATTTCATTATTGTTTTTCCACAACAACAACAACACGGACTATTCATTAACATCATCATCGTCAACAACTGCCAGCCGACATAATGAACATCATGTGAGTGCGCATGCGTATGTGTGTGTGTCTCCGTTGACGCGTTGTTGCCACGACGTTGAATGCCACTGATTGGCGCAACAAATTTGATTAGTCGAGGTAAACCGGCAGTAATCCAAAATCGTAACACACACACACACACACACCCATACTCACGCATGCTGGCAACAGGTGTGTCTGTGTGTGAGTATGTTTCTGCGATTTAGCTTCCGCCGTAACTTAAAAGTTGGTTGACATTGCCTCTGTGCTTTGCCTTTGCTTTGGCCAAAATGACATACGACAGCCTGTCAGAGGATCTAGTTTTGCATTGTTGCTGTTGTTGTTGTGCCGTTTTTGCATAGCAATTATTTTACAGCCTCCTCTGCATAGGTGTGCTGTGAGCAGAGCACTTACAACTGGTTGTTGTCACGGGTTCGATTCGTTTATGGGGCACAGTGTTTGGAATCGCAATAAAATGTGTTGGAATGCAGATTTTCAATAATTCTTGAAATATAAAAAAAAATTGAAAAAATATTTCAGAAATTCTTTTAAGAATTCTAAAAATACACTTTGCGATACGACCATACTTCAGATGTTCTATAATCCTTGAAATTAAAAAAAAAGAAAAAATTATAAAAATATATATTAGGAATTTCAGCAAGATACTTTGCGATACGACCATACATTTTAAGAATTCTAAGAAGGCATTTTCGGGTACAACCATACTTTAGACTTTCAATAATTCATTGACATTCAAAAAAAAAAAAAAAAAAATAGAAATAAAACAGTTTGCGATACGACCATACATTTTAGGAATCCCACCCAGACACTTGCGATACGACCATACCTCAGATGATCAATAGTTTTTCAAATTTCAAAAAAAAAAGGAAAAAATATAAAAGTACATATGGAATTTCATCAAGACACTTTGCTATACGACCATACTTATTTTGTTTAATACTTGAAATTCCCAAAAAATAAAAAAAAACATTTTATGAATTCAATAATTCATGCAGTTCTAAAGAAAGAGATTTATAAATACATTTTAAAAATTATACCAAAACACTTTCAGATTATCAATAATTCTTGAAATTTCAAAAAAAAAAAAAAAACACAAGAAATGTAAAATATATTTTAGAAATTCTGACAAGACACTTTGCGCTACGACCATACATTTTAGAAGACACCTTGCGGTTTTTTGAATTCTGACAAGACACTTTACGATACGACCATACTTTAGATTTTCTATAATTCACGAAATTCCAAAAACAAAAGAAATTTAAAAATACGTTTAAGGAATTTCTGCAAGACACTTGCAATACGACCATACTTCAGATGATCAATATTTCTTGAAATTTCAAAAAAAAGGAAAAAAATATAAAAGTACATATTTTGAATACCAACAAGACATTTTGCGATACGACCATAAATTTTAGGAACTCTAACATGTCACTTTGCAATACAACCATACATTTTAGAAATTCTGACAAGACACTTTGCGATGTTACCATACATTTTAGAAATTCTGACAAGACACTTTGCGATGCGACCATACATTTTAGGAGTTCTGACAAGACACTTTGCGGTACGAACATACATTTTAGGAATTCTGTCAAGACACTTTGGAATATAACAAAATGTAGCTGCATTCTGCAAACTCCATATCACATAGTCAGCTTTGTGTGCTTTACTAACCTCCCTTACTAGGCTTCATCCGAAACAACTTTAATAATTGCGAGCCTTTAGCAACATCCTTAATTCTGAGCTGCCAGGAACCTGAATAATTATACCCTCAGCAATATGGCCAGAGAGGGTATATATCATTTGATACAGCCAAAACGTGCCTCATCGAAATAACGGTTTTAGACCCTAGGTCTCTTTGGACCAAATCCGTTTCAAGACATTTGGAGTCGATATAGCGATGTCCGTCCGTCTGTCTGTCAAGCTGGCTGGTGCGCGCGATAACTCTCGAAGGGAGCATTCGATTTCATCAAAACTTGGTAAATTGTAATATTATTGTCAAGCTTATATCGAGTTCGGAGATGGACAATTTCGGTCCACTCCTTCTGGTACCTCCCACACAAAATATCAAAATTTTCAAAGAAAATAATTTATTGCATAGAAAGAGAAAGGATAATCCAATTTTGCTCGAACTTTGCGAATCCTAATATTTGCATTAGTGCTAGGTCTGGTGCGAAAATGGACACAATCGGTCCACTCCATCAAGTATCTCCCCCACAAAGGGTCAACATTTTGAATAATTATAACTCTTATAAAATATAGGGGACTCATATTACACACACAACAATGTTTTTATTAACCCAATGTCTGGTGTGAAGATGGAATATATCGGAATACTCCTTTTGGTACCTCCCGCACAAAGCGTAAATATTTGGAATAACCATGAAGCTCATAAAGCGCGAAATTAATATCCGATTCCATTCAGACTTGGCACAAGTCAATATTTCTATCAACTCAAGATCTGTTATAAATATGGTAGACATCCGACCATTCCTTCTAGGACCTCCCCCACAAAGGGTCGAAGTTTTGAATACCCTTAAAGCTCATAAAATCCGAAATAAGCACTTAGTTCTCTTCAAATTTCACACATCATAATATTTTTATTAGCCCAAGGTCTGGTGTGAAAATGGGATATATCGATCCACTCCTTCTGGTACCTCTCCCACAAAGGGTCAACATTTTGAATATCCATGAAGCTCATAAAACGCGAAATTAACATCCGATTCCATTCAGACTTGGCACAATGGTAGAGATCTGACCATTTCTTCTGGTACCTCCCCCACAAAGGGTCGAAGTTTGAATTACCATAAAGCTCATAAAATTCGATATAAGCACTTGGTTCTCTTCAAATTACATACATCACATTATTTTTATTAATTCAAGGTCTGGTTTAAAAATGGAATATATTGGTCCACTCCTTCTGATACCTCCCCCACAAAGGGTCAAAATTTTAAATACCCATGAAGCTCATAAAGCGCGAAATTACTATCCGATTCCATTCAGACATGACACATCTCAATATTTCTATGAACTCAAGATCTGTTATAAAATCGTAGAAATCGGACCATTCCTTCTGGTACCTCCCACACATAGGTTTCAATATTTTTGAAAAACAAAACGCTCAAAGAACGCGCTATAAGCATCCAACTCTCTTCAAATTTCATACATCCAAATATTTTTACCAACGCAAGATCTGTTGTGAAAATGATATACATCTGCCAACACCTTCTGGTACCTCTGCCACAAAGGGTCACAATTTTTAATACTTATATCTACCATAACTTGCGAAACAAGTCGGCGATTCTTTACAACTTGCTTGCTAGAAATCTGATATGAATATATTATCGAAATTTATGATTTCGCATAAAATTGAATATAAATCTTCGATTTCCTTCAAATTTTGCCCATACCAATATTTTTATCTGTAGTAGATGAAGTATGACAATGGAATACTTCGGTCCACTATATATGTTACCTCACGCATTTTTCCACATTTTTCAAAAATGAAAAATCTCATATAAAATATAGGAAGGTGTCCATAGAGTCGAAATCTGGCACGTTGTAATATTTATATCAGTCTTATTTATTTCAATATTGGACAATTGCTTCTGAACCTCCCCCAGAAAGGGTCAACAGTTTGAATAATCATAACTCAAGTCTGGGCGTATACATCTGTCGGCAAAACCGACTGATACTATTTTATATAATTTTATTTTGAAGTGTTCTTCTTAATTTTTCCACTTCCCATGCACAGTGCCATATTTATTTGCTAAGTGATAAACACAACAACATAAAAAATCATATCAACAACACAACAGAGCTAAGGTGGTTTTGGCAGCAACAGTAAATAGCACGTGGGCGTTTGAATATGGTACTCTCAGAGAAACTGCAACTACTCTGAGAGAAAAATCAATTGAAAAAGAGGCTGTTTACGATACACGGAGATAGTAAGCATCGCAATGAGAATAGTGGCTACCAAAAGAGCAAGAGATAAACAAAAGGGGAGCTTTGTTATTGTTGTCAATGAATGCAGCAGCCGCAGCAGCAACAAGTCGTTGCGATCTCATGTGTAAATGGGAGTTTGTTGTTATTGTCCCCACTCGTCAACATCCACGCTCTCATACACACGAAAGTAGTAACTGTGGCTGTTACATTTGATGTTTGCCAACTACCATCATATCATCATCGTCGTCGTTCGTTTGTCCGTTCGTGCTGAGCACCTACCTTATTTTGCCAGGTCTTGTGTGTTCGGTTACAATGCGTGTGAGAGTGTGTTCATGTGTGTGTGGTGGTTGTGTTCTTTCCGTTTGCTGTGGAGTGCGGTTGGTGCTCTGTTTTGATTATTTGGCCGTTGAGCAAATCATCAGTCAACGTTTGCACCTTGACCAAAGCAGTTCGGGTTCTGGTGTGGTGCGGTAGAAGAATAGTGAAAAAGAAAACGGTTCTTTGGATTTAAATCAAGTAAATCAAAGTGTTTAGAGTAAATTAATTCCCTTTTACGTGTGTTATGGATTTTAAAGACTGTGATTAACAATTTGAGGAAAAGAAGAAATAGTTTGACATTTATGAATTGTGTTTAATTGCAACATTGTTGCCGCATACCAAAAAAAAAAAAAACAAGTGTCATCAATCAAACGAATGCATCGGAAGAGCGAATGACCACCCAAACAGGCGACATCCCAGCAATTCTGTTGTGATAGCCATCATCAAAATTCTATTTCATAGTTCTTCGGGTTTGTGACAATTTTAACGAATGCCATTCTGACGATTTGGGTTATATCCATTGTTGTTGCTGCCGTTGTTGTTTTGATGTGTGTTGTTTTTTTTTGCATGTGATGAGTGATGTTGCATTTGTTGTTCTGTGTGTGCGCCTCTTCAAAGTGCGTGAGTTTGGTGGGGTTGCCTGCCTGCCTGCCTTTTGGTTTTTAATGGCCCCCAACATATCACAAGTGTCAAATGTGGAAGAAGAACAGCAACAACAACATAAAAGGTGCGTGTTGCTCGTTCGCTGCTGCTGCTGTTGCGCTGACCATTGTTGACTAATGGAATATTATTTTAATTTTTATTGCTCTTTTAACGAATGCTTGGCTGCTTGGATGGATGGCCGGGCAAGCAGCTAAAGATTTCACAAATCACTTTTGGCACTTTAAATAGGATCATCAGCATTAACATCAGCATTGCTCATCGGCATCTCTTCGGCAATCACAAAGAGTGGGTTGCTTGGTTGTTGGCTTGTCGTGGTCGTCCCCTTCGTTTCAATCATTTGAAGTTCTTGACTCGGCAGTGAATGTCGCGTGTTCTGTGTGTGATATCTCCGAACAGTTTCCAAAAACGATTAGCAAAGATATTTTATGTGTTCGGTGAATAAAATTGCGAAATTACAAGAAATTGTGAAAAAATTGAAACAAAAACTGATGTCAATGCCAATTAATAATAAATATCACAAAATAATTTAATTGATTAAACCATGGCAAACATTTGTGTAAAACCATAAAATCTGAGAAGAATGCAAAAGAAAAAAATTAAAGCAATAAAATAACGATATAAAAATATACTCCTCGTGCAAGTTTTTAACGGTTTACATTTCTGTTTTGTATTTTTTCACAGAGTTTTTGAAAATTAATGACAATTGTATTGCGTGTCTAGAAGAGATATTCACAAAAAAAAAGAAGTGTTAAGGAAAAAATCAAAACAGTGAAAAAAACAAACTTTTGAAATTAAAAGAACGCTGCCATCGAAGGACATTCACAGAAGTAAATAAACAACAAATGTTGTCGGCAATTTACGAACTTGTCATTTAAAAAGGGTAAGTCTGAAGGCATGTGACATGCAAAACTTGTATTAAATGATTTTTTCTTGATTAAATTCCAAGAAAATTAAGAGTGATTTTTTATTGATTTTTTTTTTCGAGACGAGGAAGGCAGGGAACAACATTTTTTTGAAAATGTAGATGAAAATAAATAACATTAATTATAGAAAAAAAAAAAAAAAAAAAAAAATAACAAATAATGTGAGGTCCGATATTTTCCTTCTTCTCGCTTAGCCTAAAAGGTGCTAGACTTATTGAAATACCTCACGAGGATCCGAAATGCCGTTTCTCTCGGACAATGTGGTTGAAACTCTTAATTATATGGGTTATGCTAAGCATTATACTAAGGACTAAGGAATTTGATGCATTTCCGAAATTCTCCAAGAAATGAATGTGGGAATAGAGGACTCCATATACTTCTCAGACATATCAAGGTATAATGTGTCTGAAAGTCCTCTATTCCCACATTCATTTCTTGGATCGTTTTGGAAAATCTGGTTCGAGGCATCAATAGATACATCGAATTCCTTAGTCCTTAGTATAATGTTTGGTGTGCGACAAAAGAATGTTATATGTAGAATATAACACCGTACACAAAACCAAGGAATTCGGCTGAAATTTGCAACGTTGATAGATTTATCCAAGGTGCGATTGAAGAATACGAGTTAGTTTAGTGGGTTCTACACCCAAATAAAATCCACTTGAACAAGAGGATAGTGTTGGGCAATCTAGTTCACAAAGTGGATCGATATTTCTTGGCTCTTTTCGCATAAGGAACCAGTTCCTAAATATATTTCCTTTGTCCCAAACAGTTCCGAATGCGATTCCTGATTTCCTGATTCAATTTCCTGAATGGCCCCATTATTGCGGAAGGTTTAATAAGAAATCCGCAGGATCGTGTGGTATTTATGAGAGTGTGTAAAGGGGGATCGATGGTGGCGCTTGGAAACACATTGCGATTATCTTCAATCACTGTAAAAACCTGATCTTCTTTTAAATCTCAAACAAAAAAGGGGCAATTGCAATTCTCAGCCTTAAACTTGTTAATGAACAATTATAGACTCCAGTAGCGCCAGGAAGCTACTTGAGTACTTTATGATCTGAGATAGCAACCGGCAACAGGTTCTGAATTTCCACGCAAAATATCCGGCACGCAATCAAAGGTCACTCTTCTTACCACGTGGAATGCGGTAATGAGAACACAGCTGAATGTGCAGGTCGAGGGAAATTTAATACCGACCACGAACTACCCCAAGTTTAGAGGGGTTACATTCGACAGCATGTTCAAGTCGTCTGCGCAAGTCACAGCTATCTGCGACAAGATGAAAAGTAGGAACAAGGTCCTCAAAGCGCTCGCCGGCACCACTTGGTGTGCGGACAAGGAAATCTTGTTGACCTCTTATAACGCGCTAGGTCGGTCTGTGGTCAGCTATGCGGCTCCAGTGTGGTCTGTGAATGCTAGTCCTACGCAGTGAAAGCACAAGCCAGAATGCTGGCCTGAAAACTGCGACAGGGTGCCCCCTCATGACACCAGTGGACCATCTACGTAAGGAGGCGAAAGTCCGTCCCTTACGTCAGCATAACTATATGTATTTGTTGCAGAGAACCATGAACCTGCGTGAGTGTTACCGTGGTAGTTATCCCAACCAGGCGTGTCAGGGAGGACATACATGATATAGAGATGCTATAAGAGAGAACCTCTAGATCAAAAAGCCTATCCGGTAGGTCTAAGTGGCATTCATACCGATGCAGTCCCAGATACCATAAGCAATTACAGTATGAATGCCGTCCTCGGAGTCCTCCCCCCATCCATTGCAGCTGAAGAACGTCAGCTGCCTAGACCAAGCAGGGTAGTTTTGGCGCAATCGTCTCCAATTCGTATTGGGCACGAATTGACGAAGATGTGCGTGAAATCCGCCCGGCGTGTGATATAGACCCGCACATTACGCTGCTCTTTTTAATTGCTGCGCCAAATCTACCCAACTCTCCAGAAGATCTCTGGTTACAGTTCTTTATGGTAGCCAAATTTTTAAACCTGAAGCTTGAACCAGATTAGAAGAATTCAAACATCTACATGTACTGATGATACAACAACAACAACAACAGGCTCTGAATGGTAGGAAGCTCGATGTAACGTAGAGTTTGCGTATTTGTGTGAGAGTCTCGGATATAATATCTGATTGCCAATGATCCTTAGACTGATGAGGCGATGGGTACCCCCCAAAATACCCAAAACTCCCTGCTGGTTCCCACGTAAAAAAGTATCCCGGATTCCGGCGTGTTAGTAGACCACGTGCCTATAAGAGCTATATGTTTGCAGCCAGGTTACTTACTGCTTTCTAATGGAGCTTTGTTGACACCTGTGAGCCTCGAGGCATGTTACCAAGTTCATGATCGACCTTAATCCCCTAATGACATCTGGAAGACAAAACGACCTTAATCCCTTCATAAATTGGTGACGCACTGAAGACAAGACCAATTTATATAACTCCCACTGATGCCGGCGTTGACGCCTTAGCAACCTCGGTCAATCAAGCTACAATTAAAGAATACTTCTACTTATATGACCAGACACGGACAATGAATCAGAATCTTATGGTACATGACGAGGAGCTTCTAATGTTGGCGTGTTAGTAGACCACATGCCTATAACAGATTCTAACAGAGCCTCTTTAAAATCGGGGCGTCGCCACGGTTTTTACTTTAAGAAACCAAGTTCTTCTTTGTATTTTTTCCATCACGGTAAATGCTTCCAGATTTTAAATTTTTAGTAATTATATATTCCAAGAATATTTTATATTATTTATACTTTTTTAACCAGATTTAGAAATTTTCAAAATATTTAGGCGACTTTATAAATAATTCAAACGTTGGAAAAAGAAAAAAAAAAATGGAAATTTTTGGAGGTTGTATTCTTATATCTACATTTTCTTTAAATATTTCCTTCGGAAAATAATTGTTTTATTTTTTTTTCTTAAATTCTAATTAATGTCCCTCACATCCTCTTTCTCTCTAACGCCGGTCATAACTCAGCGCCTTGTGTGTCCAACTCCTCCCAAACATTTTTTTGGTAATGAAGTTAAAATTTATTGCCTCCCATTAACACAATGGCATTTATCTAACAAACCATATGAATTATTAGCCTTTTAATTTGAAAGATTTCTCTATGGCTGAGCTTTCATTCCGAAACGAAACTAATTTATGCACATTAAATTAACTGGATCACTTCTATGCCACTTCAACATTGGCCTTCGTTACCCAAAAAAATGAAATGAAGTTATAAATGTAATCTTGAAATGATCTCTCATATCAGGCGTTATTCTTTTGATAATATTTTATAATTAGACATTGATCTTTTTAATGTTATTCGGAGCCCAAGTTAAGTGGGTAGGGGAACTTCCCCATTTTTGTTTGCCTTCCACCACAAATTCAAGACAAATAATACCTGAACTAGAAATACATGATATATTTCAATATCAATAACGCCCTCTTGTTTATATAACTTTTTCTTAGTAGCGGCAGCATCCGCCGCAGCAAACAGCCTGCCTGCCTGCCACAACAAATCTGCCGTATTCAAATTAATTAATGGCCAAATGAGATAATAACGCGTTGGAGAACAACAAAGATTTTGTTAGCGGGATGTGAACGAACGGAAATTCCAAACCGATTGCTGCTGTATTCGCTGCTACACCTAAGCCGTATTCGAAAACAAAAAAACCACAAAAGCAACAACTCATTAACAATTAAATGGCTTTTGAAAGAATATTAAAATTTATTTCTAAATTTAATTGTTCTGTTTGTTGCTAATAAACCGTCAGTCCCATAAACACTCAATTGCAACTAACTGGAATTGTTGTTGTGAGCGTATCGACGATTTGTGTGGGAGTTTATTTAAAATTATTTATTGGAATTTAAAACTAAATATAATTATTTGCTATATTTGCAATTGATGCTGAGTGGGTTTATGTTTATATGATATTTGTGTGTGTATGTGTGTGCGAGATTGGAAAGTAATACCACCCCACTCATGGAGATTGTAATTGATAGTAAGAATTTGAAACTTAGCTTTTTCCATAAAAGCTAAGAAAGGCAATAACTTTTGCTGCAAATTTACAGTGAAATATGAATCCAGAAGTTTCGAATAAAAATAGCGACATTTGCCAGGTGTGTATTGTAGATATATATGCACATACACACCTCAGTCTTTTATATATACAAAACTTTTTACCGGATTTTCAAGAATCATTTTAAAGATCTTCCATAAACAGAAGGCTTAGTTTGCTATGGACCTAATTTCCTTTATGGAAAAAAAAATCTCAAAAAGATATATTTTTTACATTATTAAGACTATCTATAAAAGACTCTCTAAAGATCTTCTTTATGGAAACAACGTCTTCTACAAAAACAAGTAAAAAAGCTGTAAGTTCGGCCTGGTCGATCTTCGAATACCCTCCACCTTTTGGAACGAATTTGACAATTTTTAAAAAAATAAAATCCGATAAAAATTCTGTTAAAACTTAAAAATACCGAATGTAGCCGTTATATTAGGGTCTATACGACGACGTGGACCTACATACACAACTTTTCTGTTGTAGGCTGTACTGTCCATTACGAAATTCAAATACCAAATTTGAAACAATTCCGGTGAATAATGTCGCTAAAATCATCAAAATACCGAATATTGAGAGGTACCGTTATATGGGGGCTATACGAAGACATGGACATGCACAGACAATTTTCTGTCTTAGGCTGTACTGTCCATTAAGAACTTCAAATACCAAATTTGAAACATTTCCGGTGTATAATGTCGCTTAAATCATCAAAATACCGAAAAATGGGAGGTACCATTACATGGGGGCTATACCAAAATGTGGACCTATATGACCTATATTTTCAATACTAAAAGTCCTGCAGGCATAATACACATTTAAGTAAAATTTTATCAACCTACTTTATTTCGTTCGGAAGCTAGAGTGATTTCCACAAACGGACAGATG